CTGTTAGAGCCTTTTGTGCTTAGTAAGCACTTAGCCTATTTGTTAGCTGCTTAATATATGGGAGCTGGCATCTTTTGTAAATATAGAGAATATATACAATATGGGTTTGGTAACTTCTTCTTCTGCCTTTTGCATTCTCCTGTACTATTCCACCACAGCATACCTACATCAGTTCTGGTATCAGAGTCTGTGGCTCGTTAGGAATGGCAGAGAGTAGTAAGCGCTTGATAGGAGACGACGATCACAGTCTGGAGGCCCTTTGGTAGCACAACACGTAGCTGATATGTCTGGTAATCTTTTTTGTTTGTCTACAGACACATTTGTCTTATTCTGCAAATCCACAATGATGGAATCAACCTTCAGAAAATTGCTCGTCCAGGCATCCCAACAGTAGCACTACCACCCAGGCGTAACACAAATGTTGAACGAGATAGGGGACGAGCATCAGTGATTGTCGAGGTGACTGATTCTGAGGATGAGGGTGGTCAGTTTAGTCCATATCAGCTTTCTGATTCAGAAGGCAAGTTCACCAATCCTCGTCGCCGGTGACCGAACAGATTTGATCGACATCTAGGAGAATTCAGTGTGAAGTTGGATATTCCATTTTTTGACGTAAAGTTGCACTTGATGACTAACATTCGATAATAATTGACGGGGAATGTTAGAAGTAAGGAGATCATGGTTAATTGTTTTTTCGTATGATGTTCTCCTAGTAAGAGGAATGGCAAGCATCATATACTGGTGTTTAATGAATATCAGCCATTAATTTTTTTGCTAGTGTAAGAAAATGGTTAATAACAAATCTTAATGTTGACCTCGATTTTCGTACGTGTACTTTTGAGCACCTTCGATTGAACTAATTAGACCTCGTCGAGCCCAATTCGAACTCAAATCAATCTGAATTGATTTCAATTATACTCGACTGTGTTTACTTAGGCTCGATTAATTTATTATTGATGCGTCGAGCTTTATTTGATTTAAAATTGATGTCAATTTTGAATTCAATTCGTACGATTAAATTCGTTTAGCTGGCTTGAACCCATTTGAACCTAAATCAACCCAAATAGGCTCAAATATGGTTCAATCCGACTTAATCTCAGCTTAATTGATTTATATCAATTCTAGTTAATCTCTAATATGCTTTTGGACCAATTTGAATCCATGTTCCGAATCAAGAAACTAATCGAACGGTTTGAATCAAATCGACAATTATTCGAGGCTTCGGCGTGATATCTGTGATCTTCAGCAGTCGCGGCAGAGATACAAAGCAGTTGGTAGATCTGATTCATGTGTATTCGAACGACCGTGACGATGGACACAATTGAACGGGCTTCCTCTTTCGGTGAGGGGTTCGTTTTATTGAAGACGAAGGCTCCAGGCGTGGGAGAGCAGATTCTCATTCGCATAACTCAGCCCTCTCGATTCGCACCCCGTGCTCCCTGGCTCTCTCAATTTGTTCGTGAATCCCAGGAGTCCATGCGGAACTCCCCCTTCCTTCATCTTTGTTGTTCACGTACACCAGGAGGTGGAAGCCCCAACTGCCAGCGATCTCTTCCCCCCTCCTCTCTCTAGCGCAACCAGTGAAGTCCAAGGTCCCTCCTCCCCATTCGCGTGAGCTAGCCGAGTCCCACGACCTGACTTCGCCTCCACATCCAAACCGTGTATTTTAGTTTCCTTAGATATCTGCAACTCATGAAATTGACAAATATGCTCTTTGATTCCAACCAAATGTTGTCCAATGCCTTATAGGTATATTTGATATAAGGATCTTATATTTTCTTTCTTGCTCTTCATTGCAACGTTGGATGTGATTCATTGAATAAATCTATCCATGAACCAAACATTCAAGTGTATACTTGAGGGCATAATTTATGTGCATTTTAGAGAAAATTTCCAACATGATTTGCTCGCCGGTTGGTAGATTGTACAATTTTACTTGAGTCGATGAAGTGAAGGTAGTTCATAGTTGATAACGCACTCATCCATGTTGTAGACAAGAATCATTATTGTGTTAAGATTAAATGTGAAGTTTGATAGTTTTTTTATAACACTTCTCATCATTATTCACTAAGTCCGGAAGCATCTATCATAATTAAATATGTGTGAAGATTATGCCTTGATATTATGTTCTTGCTTCTCAATGAGAATCTTGATTGCTTCGTTGAGATATAGTAGTGGTTTTCTCTTAAAGTAGGCATGTTTGAATTGAGTTACTTGTAGAAATGGCTTAAATGTGATTTCTTGTGGAAATATTTGAGCATGATTGTCCCTTAGGAATCATAGGAAAGATGCCTCATAAAAGAATGAAATTGATATGATTTTATTTTCATTGTAAAGGTGATTATTTAAATTATGATTTCTTATGAAAGCCTTACATTGTTGTTGCTTATGAGATGTTATTGAGCTTTGTAGTTGCTAGACAGTGATATAAATACAATATTGAGTTATGGGTAGATTGTGTTAAGCAATTCAAATTTAAAAGGTTATGTCTACACTTTGGCAAGTTGGTTTGGAATGCAATAGTTCAATATCATATATTTTCTCCTATTTTAAGGTATTTAATGAACTTCATATAGCTTGGTGTTGTGATGAGGTTCCTTTCTTGTTGTTTTTGGGTAAAGATCTTTACATTAAATTTTATGGATTTGGTCACTAACGAAGAGTGTTTGGAGTCTTTTAAGCATGATAGTGTCTCTTTATATTTCATGCAAATGGTTGAAGTAAGTTTCAAGCATTTTCTCATAAAGTGGAGCCATGTTTTTATCTACATTTACGTGGGATATTGTAGTTGTATGTTCACCATTGTCAATTAATGTCATTTGAAGTGTTTTGGAAAGTCTCATGAGTTTCTTTACGATTAAAGAGCTTTAGGAAATGGTTCTTTTGTTTTTGTTGAGAGGTTTCATGATTTACCTTGCGTTGCAAACTTGGGGATTTGCTTTTGGTTGGAAAAAGTCTTGACTTGCTTATGTTGAGATGATTTATCATTGGCTTTAGATTTGTTTTGTATTAAAGGCTTTATGCTATGAGTTTCATGAATGCTTTACAATGAGAGGTTTTATAAAACTTTCTTGTTGGAAGGCTTTATGGTCCTACCCCACACCAAATAAAAAGAGAACTTGATTATTTTCTTTGTGTCAAAAGATGTTTTGGTAGATTGCTTATGAAAGCTTTTATGTATTGTTTCATTTGGAGGTTTCTTAAGTAAATTTTGGAATTTGGATCTTTGTGGTGAGTTTTGTGTAGCAAGTTCTCTTTGATGTCTTTTGGGAACAAATGATCTTTCTTAATTGAATTTGCTTTCTTTTACTAATATTTGCTTCTAAAAGTGAGGTTTTGGATAGATATAGAATGAAGATTTATTTTGAGTTTTGGTTTTGGGAACTTATTCTCATTTGTCACTTTGAGCTTTAGTTAGATAATATCTTAGTTAGTCGTGTTAAATGTATCAAGTGCTTTGATTGGAATGTGAGGACATCAAAGGGCATTAAAAACACCTTCTCCCCTATTCGTATCACATTGAATTAGGGAGAAGATTATTTTAGAGGCACACTTGGCCTCAAAGAAGTATGCCCAACAATAACAATGCTTACATTCCTTTTACTTTTGATTTTCATTCTTTTCTTTCTATTGCATTTAGTCTTCTCTTGCTTTGCTTTTAGTCTTTCTACAGCTCCTTTATTTATGATATAAGTTTTAATGTTTGCAAAATGAGAAAAATTCAAAAGACAAATTATGGCTCAACTGGTATACAAAAAGGTACATTCTTATTTTTTATTGCATTTTCATTTCTTTGTATTATTATTTTCTTATCATGTAGAACTTGCTTTAATACTCATCTTTTATGTGTCTTGCAAGGTGATCTTTAGAGAGCAAAGGAGAAGGATCATTTGGGCACTTGACGAAGGAGCATGGACAGTCGGATCCGAGCATCAGTTGCCCTCATTGAGTCTGGTGGGGGCGCTACGGGCGGAACCACCAGGTCATCGCCTCCGGTGCTGTAAGTTTCCTTAAACTTGGAAAACCTTTAGGGTCCCCAATTGTTGTATGCTCCCTAACCTTTAGCACCCTATAGAAACTTTATTTTATAATTAGGATTGATTTTTTTTATTATTTTAGATCTCTAAATCCCTTCACATGTACAGAAGTCCAAAGGATTAGAAAAAAAAATTATGTTTAGTTCCACAACTTTAGTGACACATAAGGACAAAAATTAAGGATTGAGTCTTAAATAACATAGACTTAGGATGCATACTCCTTATAGCATAGAGACATCAAAACAAAAATCTAGTGACATGTTTTCCTATGTTTAATTTTCCTTAATCCATTAATAATCAACTAATCAATCATAATCTAACTTCTAAAATGTATTAAAAATACTTAACTCTTAATTAAATTATAATTAATATATAATCATTAAATTATAAACTTAAAGCATAAATCCAAATCAAACTTAACTAATTTAATAATCAACTCTTAATCAACTTAAAGTTTAAAAGAGGTAGACTAAAATTAGGAGATTAAACATAAAACCAAAACTCATTAGGATAAAAGCCTCCTAAAGGTCAAACCTTAGATTAATCTTTAAAATCAATCAATAAACTTGATTAATAAACT